GATAAGTCTTATGAAGAGTCATTCAGCTGATAAGAGGATAGTTAGAGGGAACAGTTAGTATAATTAGGGGATTTAACTGGATGTGAAGGTCTCAGAGTATTTGCGGAATTGGTTTTGTCTCTAGAAGCCATTCCTATTTGGTTTGATTGTTCTTAGATTGTTCTTGGATGCTCTAGAAGTTTCTCTGTTCCGTGTGTGTCTCAGTTAGGAAGTGAAACGGCCTTAGGCATTGTAGGCGGAAACTGATGAGTTTCTTGGTTGTATCTTTCTGTAGCATGTTGTGATGGGTCTCTAATGTATAATGAAAATGATGTTCTACTTTTGCAGGGGAAACAAAAACATAGTTTTGGCAACCACAACACATGGTGGTCATCTTGCTTACTATGAAGGATTTACAGCAACAAGCATGTGGTAAACAATTTCTGCGTAAACCCGAGCTCTTAGATACTCATTCTTTCCTAAGGAGTGAACTTGAAGTGTGTGAAACTGTAATTGTATAGGTGGGTTAGGGCTGTGCAAGAATATTTTCAAGTGCTACTCTCAAGCCCTTATGCAGATAGAAGACACAAGGTACGAGAAAACTGGCTTTTAGTCCATTGCCATTACATGATCCAGTCTCTTTCAAGACATTGATCGTATTGTTTTTTTTTTTTTCAGACGCACATCGTCCCCGAACCATTGGAATCTTCGATTGATCAGGGACCGTTTGTTGTGGATGCCGGAGAAGATGGTATGATTGTTGCTGCAGCAACAGCTAGTGAAGGGGAGACAGCAAGAGCTGATACAGAAGAACAAGACAAGATTGATCTAATGGAGAAGACAAGTTATCATCTTCCACCTCAAGGTTATAACAGTTTACTCGGTCCTTTGAAGAAGAAAGTGGATCAGCTTTCGAGATATAGCCGGAAATCGATCTGGATATTAGCATATATCGCCATAGTCACGACATGGCCACTTCTTGGACCTGCGTTTTTGTTATCAATCAAGAAAAGATTCAGAAGGCTCATCGGAAAATAGAAATGTGTAAAGTGGAATAACCTCTATAGAAGACATTGTACAATGTTGTAAATCTATATGAGATAAAGCTTCAATAAGCCATGTTATTTTGAGTTGCAAATAGAGTCTTGAAGAAAAAGGTTTGAGCTTTTAGCTTAGTCACCACGGCTCATCTTTTTTGTATATGACAAAATGCAAGTCTTTTATCAAGTGAGTAGCCAAAAAAAGACAAATTTTGTTTGTTTGTAGTGAGGAGCAAATGTCAAAGTTATGTTGGAGAAGAAGACAGTGTTCAATTGAAAGTCGTCCCCTGATTCGTCTCCCACATTTCTGCAGCTGGAGGAAAAAAAAATCTTAGCTTTCGATTGACCCAATGAATTGCGAAATCACAGAGCAGGAATTGCTCTCTCCTTACCTCATCCTCTTCAAATCGCTCTCTCTCATCCCAATCTCTCACTATCTCATCTTCTTCTTCCTCGCAATCTTGCTTTTCGTCTACTTGTTCCTCGAGTTTCATCTCCCCAGTGCAGATCCCATCTCTCTCACTTTCGATCCCAACTCCGACTTTTGCCAGTTCATCGTCTCCAAATGTCGTCTCCTTCACGGAAGGTAATGTTCTTGAATCCTAATCTTAAAACCCAATTGCAAAAATACGATCTTTCTTATATACACATTTGCAATTTTCAATTTTTTCAGGTACTTTCCTACGATTTGGCTTTCAAGCCCTCATCTTCAAACAGCGTTCCTTAGCCTTTTTGGAAACTCGCCTCGTTTCTGTTATAAGCGGTTAGTGAGCTCATAAATTTAGTGCTCTTTTGCTTGTTCAGATCTTTTAGGCACGAGTTATGTTCCTCTTAAGCTGCTTTTTGTTAGTATAGTATCTTTTAGGAAAAGCTCTTTTGTCTTACTCTGAATCAAAATGGTTGACTCTTATTTTGCACAACCAAATGATAAATTTGAAGTTTAGTTTGTGTTTGTTACATGATCTTTTGAGTTTTGAGATGTGATGAATAATTTTAAATCTGTATGTGGTTTCAGAAATCTCTTTCAAGCAACAGATGGAGGCACACTTGCTTTGGACTGGTTAATGCATTCTGATGGTTTGTATTTAAGAAAGAACAATACATACATTTGCTTCTCTTAGTTTTGATTCAATAGCTAAAAACCATTTTTGTTCTGCATAGTGGTGGAAGGCATATCTCAGGTGGTCAACGACTCAACTCCAGGAAATGATAGGACTCCAATTGCTATTGTGGTTCCAGGGCTCACTAGTGATTCTACTGCTGCAGTAATCTTTCATTTCGACCTCTCCTTTCTACATTTTCTTTTTTCGCTTACACGAAAACTTGTCTTACTCTCTTTTGTTTTTGACAGTATATCAAACATATTGCCTTCAGATTGGCAAAGGAAGGATGGAATGTTGTTGTGAGCAATCACCGTGGACTTGGAGGGATATCTTTAACTGTGAGTTTCTTTGGTTTCATTTTTTTTTTCTTCTGTATCTTGGTGATATTTTGGGTCATAGGTGTGCAGTTATGATTAAGTAGATTTTAATGAGTTCCTAGAACCATATTCGTGGTCTTAGTCTGGTATTAGAATTGGGAATAGCAATCTTGCTATACAAATTCACCATTAAACATGTTGAAAGAAAGAATGACATTAATAAGCGGATGACATCTTTGAAATATCCTTTTAGTTCTTAAACTTATCATTTGTGAGGTTGATTCATCGACTGACTTGAGTTTTTCTAATCATTAATCAGTCTGACTGCTTCTACAATGCTGGATGGACAGAAGATCTCCGGAAAGTAATTGATCACATCCATTCTCAGTTCCCAGAGGCTCCTCTTTTTGCTGTTGGAACAAGCATTGGTGCCAACGTTCTGGTATATAACGCCTCTCTTTTACCTTCAATACCCTTAGTCTTGCATCAAAAGAGAGAAATGTCATGGCGATTCATTATTAGTTCTAAAGGCATAACGTTTTGATATCTCAAATTTTTATTGATACATTAAAACTCAGTGCAACCTTAATTCCAGGTTAAATATCTTGGGGAGGATGGGCCTAACACACCTCTTGTTGGAGCTACTGCTGTGTGCTCTCCATGGGATCTTTTGGTCAGTTCAATCTTACGTCCACTCTAACACTGACACTCTGTGATATTGCCCCCAAAATTTGAATAATCCGTCCAGAGAATCTTGAAAAAGAAAACCAACCATGCCTTACTGTTTAAAGTGATTCCTTGTTTCATGGCAGATATGTGATCGATTTATCAATCGCAAACCCGTGCAAAAACTCTATGACAGAGCGCTTACTGTTGGTCTACAAGGCTATGCACAATTGTACGTCTAGATTCTTGTCTTGTATAGTTACAAGTTTGTATATATTTTTACCTGCTTTTGTCTCGCTTTAGTCATGTCTCTCTTGTTCACTTGCCTGCAGGCACCACTCAGTCATTTCTCGTTTAGCCGATTGGGACGGCATTAAGAAGGTAGATTCTGATTTTCTCTTATCTATTTGCCAAATTGACTTCAAAGATTCATTCGTTTTGTGCCTTGTTGTTTCAGTCACGTTCGGTTCGAGAGTTTGACAACTATGCCACAAGACTTGTTGGCAAATTTGAGGTACTGTTCTGTTTGTTACATATTTCTCTGTATCCTTTTGTTTATCTACCCTCTCTTTCCATTAAACCAGTAGCAAAAACTCAAAATCTTTAATGCTGCAGACAACTGATACATACTATAGACATTCAAGCAGTGCGCAATACGTGGGAAATGTCGCTATTCCACTCCTTTGTATCAGTGCTTTAGATGATCCAGTTTGTACTAAGGAAGCTATTCCATGGGATGAATGTAGGTAAAAAAATCTCTTTGCTCTTTGCCCTTTTGCTCTGTTTCATCAAGTCAAGAAGTAAAACAGCTTCAGGCATAGTCTTGACGAAATTTCATGAGTTTCTTGGCTGTATCTTTCTGTATACTTTTACAGGGGAAACAAAAACATAGTTTTAGCAACCACAACACATGGTGGTCATCTTGCTTACTATGAAGGTTTTACAGCAACAAGCATCTGGTAAACAATTTCTGCGTAAACCCGCGCTCTTAGATACTCTGTTCTCATACTCTATCCACTAGGAGTGTAAGTCAAACCTGTGGAACTGAAATGTGTAGGTGGGTTAGGGCTGTGCAAGAATATTTTGAAGTGCTACTCTCAAGCCCTTATGCAGATAGAAGACAGAAGGTACAAGAAAACTGGCTTTTAGTCCATTACCATCACATGATCCAATCTCTTCTAAAACATTGATCGTATCATTCTTTCAGACGCAGATCATCCCGGAACCATTGGAATCTTCGATTGATCAGGGAGCGTTTGTTGTGGATACTGAAGCAGATGGGATGATTGCTGCTGCACCAGCTAGTGAAGTGGAGACAACAAGAGCTGATACAGAAGAACAAGAGAATATTGCTCTAACTGAGAAGACAAGTAACCATCTTCCACCTAAAGACAACACACCTCAAGGTTATAACAGTTTACTCGGTCCTTTAAAGAAGAGAGTGGATCAGCTTTCGAGATATAGCCGGAAATCGATCTGGCTATTAGTGTATATTGCTATAGTCACCACATGGCCGCTTCTTGGACCTGCGTTTTTGCTATCAATCAGGAAAAGATTCAGAAGGCTCATCGAAAAATAGAAATCGTGCACTATAGCAAAATATAATAACTCTATAGACAGTCTTTGTACCATTAATACCTTATGATTGTATTTCATTTGTAAACCTACTTGAGACAAGGCTGCAACAAGCCATTTGCCATATCAATACTATTCAAAGCTCTCATCGTAAACATGAAAAAACTCCATAGTCTTTTAAAAAATGGTATTTCAAAAGAGAAGAGAATGGAAATCAAAAGCAGGCTACTGAGTAAAAACATGTAACAATGTTGGCTATGTTGTTTTGAGTTCAAAGAGAGTAATAAGTCTTAAAGAAAAAACACTTGAGCTTATTTAAGCTAGTGACGGCTCATCTTAGCTTTAGGCACAGCCTTTTTCACTTGCCTTGCTCTATCTTTTGCTTCTTTCTTCCTCAACACTTCGGCGCTCATCTTTGCTTCCGCTTCTTCCATCATTTTCCTCCTTTCTGCTTTCTTCTTCTGCAACGCCTCTTGCCTCGCGTTCTGTAGTTCCTTATAAGCTTCCTCTGCTGCCTTTTGCCTACCACTCTCACTTTTGTTCCGCGCCTTCATTAAAACACTTTAAAACTCAGCTTTCTCCAAAAAACAGGCTCTAAACTAGTACAAGTTTGCAACTTTTTACCTGTGAGCTGAGTCTGTACCGTCCTACTAAGTCGATGTAATACGGAATTAGCGCCACTAGCCGAACAAGATCATCCATATGTTTAGCGTCCGGTAAGGAAAACTTGAAAAGCATCATCTTCCTGTGTTTGCCTTGGTGTTGGTCAGATATATGCATCGACATGAAATTCTTCCCATACTTCTCCATTGCCTTGTCTCCGAAAACCTACAAAGGTATGTGACAGAGATCAATAAAGTGCACCATTAAGCTATATACAAATCTGGAATTAAATCAAATCAAGGTTCATATGAAAGTGATTACAAACAGAGATATAGAGCCATGGAGCAAACTCCATTACAGAAATAGTAAGGTCATGATGCTTAACGATACTAAGCATTAACATTTTTTACACTTACCTCACTATAAAGCAATAAGGCCTATTCAAGAACAGTCCGAATTGTCTGCAAATGAAATTAAACTCAGAAATGAGCCAGATTGTGACTACTAGTTCTCAATCTTCTTCCTCTGTCCTAAAGATTGGTTCTTTGCTAACTAAAGCAAATACACAGATCCAGTTCTACTGTAGAATCTGAGAGAGATTGAGAGAGAGAAGATTCGTACCTGATCAAGCACGGTGTCTGTGATCATATCTCCAGCAACTTCCTTAGACTCAGAGATCACAGCTAGCTCCTCCGATACCCATTTCCTCCCGGCGGGAGAAGACACAATCCCGGCGAATCTCTGCAGATCCTTCACCTCTTTTAGCATCGTTTTCGCAGCTTTCTTCTTGGCCATCGCAAACACGACATGATCCATTGTTTCCTCGTTCATGTAAACCTCAAAGGTGATCTCATCTTTACAAGGCACCACCAAGTTAAAAACTCTCGAGATCAGATCGTGCCTGCTCTTGAGCTCCATCGTAGCCAACAATCCATGGCAGTACCTGCGACCACTCGCGTAGAATTTGAACACGTTCAACGCTTCTTTGAGCAACAATGGCGATTCCTCTCCGTCACCAACTCCCAACAAGCTGAAGTTCTTCTGGAATATAGTGTCCTTTGAAGCGAATTTCGCCGCCCAGGCTAAAGCGAGACTCTCGTTCTCGCGTTTGCCGACGAAGTAGTTGACGGCGAGCGCGATTAAGAAACAGACGCAAGCGATCTCCACTGCGTACAACTTCTTCTTCCTCCACGATACCTTAGTGCCTTGAGCTGTCGAGGAGGCGGTTTCGGGATCTACCGTCTGTGTAGCGTTTTCTGCAATCAACGGAGACTCTAGCGTCTCTGCCGGCGGCGCTTCCTTCTCCGGCAATCCTTCGAACTCGTCTTCATCCCAGAATTCGAACGGTGTAGAAGAGGGGTTTTTGGGATCGGATTCAGGCTCGGCGTCTGATTCAGGGATGAGATCGGAGTTAGAGTCGTCGGAAGATGGTTCTGGATCGGGGAGTGATGAGTGAGACTGGGTGATAGTAGGCGGAGTGAGAGAGTGAGGAATGGTAGACGAATCTTCGGAGACATCGTCGTCTTCAGCATCGAATCCTTCGAATTGAGAAGCTGAGAGAAGATGCTGATGAAGAGAAAGGTAGAAGATGAGAGCTAAGGAGAAGAATGCTAAAGATTTTCTCATTGTTGAAGAAAAAAATGAAGTAAACAAACATGAAAAGCTTTGTTTCTTCAAGGGAACACTTATATGACTAAGTATGAAGAATATGTGTTAAGCAAAATTGATCATTTTGGTGTTAAGCATGAATATGTGGAAAGCAAGATTTAAGACTTATAGATAACCAAAAATGTTTGAAGACTTATTTTGGGGATAATATATATCAAATGTCAACACAGTATCTATACATAACAGGACTATACAAAGAAAAGAGAGAGATACAAAAAGAGTGGTCTTTGCATTTGAAGTCACTGTGGTTTCTACTTTCTATATAAGTTGAACAGCTGCAATGGATGGAATTTTCTCTCTGAGTTTCTGAGTTACAGCTACTCGAACAGTCATGACTCCAGCAGCAGGACCTGTGATTCTTATCTTCACGATCGGGTCTTCGATCTCCACAAGCTCCAGCGACCCATCAGCTGTTCCGATTAAGTAAGGCCTGATTTCTTCCAGCACCTATAAACAAGCAAATAAACGCACACTTGAGTCTTGTAACATCACACATCAACTCCAAAGGATTATATAACGCATGAAGATTTACTTGTGTAACATAAGTTACATAACCACAGCAGAGCAATTAAGCAACCTAGAGACTCTACCAAAACTAACCTTCTTCATGTTTTCCTCATTCAGTTCTAAGGAGCGACAGTATTTGAACAAAAAGTTATGGATTTGAGCAAGTTATAACACACACAGCTTCTACCCAAAAGCTAACCTTTCCAATATTTTCTTCATTCAGTTCAATTCAAGCCATTATTAAAACAGTAGTTGAACCAAAAAAAGATGGAACTGAGCAAGTCATACACAACTACAAACGCAGAGAACTTAAGCAACCTATAATTTATACCAAAACATAACCTTTTCAATGTTTTCCTCATTCAATGATAGGTTCAACCATGTATGCTGAGAACTTAAGCATCCTAGAGCTCATACAAAAACTAACATTCTCCATGTTTTTGTCACTCAGTTCAAAATGGGAAAATAAAGTATTTGAGCAAACAATACTGAGAACTTAAACAACACTGAGAACTTAAATATGGTTTTTGTAACGCCGTCATGAGTTTAAGGCGTAACAACTAACAACACGACCACACATGCAGCGAACTTAAACAACATAGAGCTTATACCAAAATCTAAGCTTCTTGATGTTTTTCTTTACAGTTCAAGGCGCAAAATAACAGTATATGAACAATAAAAACACACAAGCACATATGCAGAGAGCTTACGCAACCAATAGCTTATACAAAAATCTAACCTTTTCAATGTTTTCGTCATTGAGTTCAAGGCCAGTCTCTTCATCCGGAACTGCTTCCACAGCCACTATCTCAGGCATCTTTTCCATTAAACGACGCTCGATTCCCATCTTCATTGTCATAGTAGAACTCGGACACGATCCGCACGCTCCCTGCAACTTTACTCTCACAATGTTTCCATCGATCTCGTGTAACGCCACATTACCACCATCAGACATTAGGTATGGCCGTATTTCGTCCAAAACGCTTTCAACATTTTCTTCTGTCAAAGGTACTTCCAAGACTGATTCTGGAGTTGCCACTGCCTTTACATCTGTTCAAAATTCCAGAAATCAAAAACCAAATATTATATTTCATATTTCTCCAGGAGAAGATCAATGCACAGAAAGCAATCATACACTGTAACAAATCTATGCTAAAACGGATATCAAATTAGAGAAAAGTGTCTAAGAGAGATAATTGAAATTATATCTATATTCCTCAAGCAATCCAAACTAAGAAGAGAGAAACTAATCACAACATACAACTCGAGCTGAGTTCATTAGAATCTAAATTTGAGAAATCTTTCTAACCGGAGAGGAGAGAGAGAGAGAGAGAGAGAGAGAGAGAGAGAGAGAGAGAGAAGGATTCTGACCTAGGGGTCGTCGATTGGAGAGAGATCGAGATAATTCCCGGCGGAGTGGATTTAGAGACGTAGCTACGAGACCAAAATCGCGTTGGGATCTCAACCTCTGTCGAAGAATTCGGGTCAGAGATTCGTATGTTAAAAGAAGGCCAAGAGTAACAAAAATTCAAAATCCAAAATCACCTGAGAAGAAGAAAGAAGACGAGAGAAAGAGTGAAAAGATGAAGGGTGTAGGGCTTGTGGCGACGACCTGGAAATGATTGCCGGATTTAGCGCCAGCAATTGCATATCTCCTCGGCTTTGCGTTTCTGATTCGAGAAATTCTAATTGGCGGCGGCTTTGATTTCGGAAATGTGACGACGGAGATTCTCTTTTATCCTTCCCGGAGAAAAAAACAAACTCAAACTACAATTTTGCCCCTCAAGTGTTTATAAATAAAAAAAACTATTGATTTGTTTTTTTAAGTCAGAAATAATTGATATTGCCCGTGAAGTCTTTTCTACGAATTTTGGAGTTTCACATGAGACATCATCTCTTTTGTCCCTCCATCTCTTAGGACAATCACAAATCTCCCAACTTAATCTCTTTATCCTTCCTCCTTGTTTAATTGACGAAAATCTTAATAAATTCTGAAAAATTAATTCAAAATTGGAAAAAAGAAAAACAAGTTTGGCGTTTTGGTTGAATTGGCGTTTGGCATCGGGATTTCAGAACCCCGTGTTTGCTTTCTCTCTCTTTCCTCCCATCTTTACTCTCTCTCCTCTCCTCTCTCCTCGGGCTCTCCTCCATCTTCCAAATCGAGCTCTCTGAAGCTTATCCCGGTCGTCCCAAGCTCCTTCTTTTCCCTGTCAATCATAATCTCGTTGCTTCGGTACCGTAGTCGGCGTAATTCGCAGCCGCAGGGAGAAAAAAACAACTCAGGTATGTTCAGTTGTTCATAGTTGGAATTCGTCATTTTCTCTTGAATAAATCAGACAATTAGGTGTTTAGCAATGCTTTTTTGTTCGATTAGTACTCTGCATTAGCAAAGAACGTAATGCAGGGCTTGAATCGAAGCGAACCGTAAGTAGAAGAGTGAGCTAGTTTTGGGAATCTCCGCCGATAGTACAACTGAGTATAACTCGTATAACTAATTGTGATAGTATAACTAGGTAAACTAAGTATAACTACGATGAATTTGCAGCTTCAAAAATCATATCTTGTGTTTTACTCTTTTATATCACAGTTTTTGGATAATTAAAAGTTATATTTGGCAAATAATTGCATTGATTTATCAGAATTGGTTTAGCCCAAAATCGTGAAACTTGGTAGAACTGGTATAACTATGTGATGTAAAAATGCATAACTGTGTAAAACTAGTAATACTGATAAAGTTTTGACTTTGTTTTGGTAGGATATGATGGGTGACGACGTCAGCTTACATTTCAAATGCAAAGGTATCTTGTACAGTTTATTGGTGAAGACATCAACGAACGAGATAACACTATTGATGGTAAAAGCTTTGATATGCAAGAAGTTTGGGTGGGATGAAAAAATGGTGGAATTGAAATTGAGATACATTCCCCTGATTGTGAGATGCGACGAATACACGACCGTAGCTTCTGATGACGATCTCAGGTGCTATCTAAGTTCAGTTGATCCCCAAGGCTGTAGATGTATGTTGCATGTAGAGGTCACGGCTTCCTCAACACAGCCCACAGCGCAAGTATCTAGAGCAGAGAAGGAAAGTTCTGTTGGTGTGAACTATAATGATGATGAAATTGGAGGTAATGCCGTGGCTCTATATGTAGGCAACAACGTCGAAGCAGAACAAGAAGAGGAGGCAGAACAAGAAGAGGAGGAGAAAAAGAAGAGGATGCAGAGCATGAAGAGGAAGGAGAAAAAGAAGCTCAGGAGATGGATGAGGATGATGTTACAGGCGAATATAGGCACAACGAATATGATGAACCACCTGTTGTACTAGCTAGTCAGTATACAGAGCCATGGGAAGATGGTTTGAATGTCAGATTACTTCAAGAGTTTCCAAATAAGAAGGCAGTGCAGAGAATGGTGGATAAAGCTGCATTTGAGAACTCTTTTGGTTTTGTGCTAGTGAAATCAGATAAGGAACGATATGTGGTGAAATGTCAAGATAAAAGGTGTGAGTGGAAATTACGAGCTGCAAAGGTACTAAATACACGGTTTTGTTTCTCAATTAGAACGCACCACAAGATGCATACATGCTCCCGGGCTAGTCAGAGTACAGTAAAGAAGAGGAAAGGTATGTTGGAACTCATTTTTGATAGTATATTATATGTCAAAAATGAAGTTGGTTTGAATGAGAAATGGAGGTCCAAGTGGGTTGCTTGTATAGCATAAAATGTAACATTTATTAAATGTCCCACATTGGAAGTTTGAGGTGAAATCCTCTTGTATATAAAGTGGAGAATTTAAAGCAAAGTTTAAAAAACTTGTGTACACTTAATAGAGAAAGATGATTACCGGGACGGGATTGTGTCTCGGGCCTCGGGATTGGCAATCGGGCCAAGGTTCCATAAGTTAATTCTTTTTGACCAGAAATTCTTGTTGAATTTTGTGTTGATTAAGTCAACAAATATCTTCTCTAATTAATTTTTCAAATGACAATTAAATGCAAGTCAATTATTATTGATTTTGTAACATAAAAAACTTAAGTCATTTGAAAGAATAATTAGAATAATGAATTCTTGATCTCCACTTTAATGCTACGTTAAACGTAGCATAATGGCTATAAAGCCATGTTTCTCCATTTGTGAAAAAAGAGATTAATCACATATCAAACACAAGAAACAATTCCTCACTTCTCTTCTTTTTATTTTGGTTTTTCTTATGAGAGTACATCACAGAAAACATGGTTCGCAAAGCTTATGTATTGAGTGATGCAATCATAAGAAGTATGCAGTTTTATCCTGGGATTCGGAACGCCATGCAACCGTCACACTACGGGGCGTTTACAGAATTAAGGAAAGAGATCATATCTCGACTCTGCAAATCCGGTTTTATTTCCTTAATTCTTGTTTATTTTGTATCATTTTAATATTTGTTATATTAATTTGTTCATATTTATACTTTACATTAATCATCGCCCATTGTAGAAATTGCGTTCCTACAAGGTATTCCAGATTTAGTTGCATGTTTGTTGATCTTTGGACTAATGAGACTTAAAGCTTCTCTAGCCCAAGTCAGTTTTAAATAAGTACTCTCTCTGGTGATTGGTGAAGAAAGTGGTTCACCATACTCTTGAAGACAGCCAACATAGTTCAACCCAAAAAACTCATAGACGCTATGCAAATTTTTATACTTTTGATAGTATAATAAAGAAAAATTGCAAAAAAGCCTTTTTTTTAAAGCCTTAATATCTAACTAAAGTTTTTGAAAAAATACATGACCCAGTGCAAATGCATTTTGGGCACATGCCAAGGGCCGAGCTGCTCGTAAACTAGAGTCAACAAACAGAGTGGATATGCACCTTGTCGAGATCTTGAGGTATTCTTGTTGATTGTTCCTATAACAATTTTGATATACTTGTGTTGATTCTATGCTTATGTGATTATCTTTTTTTGAAACTTTTTGGGAAACCAATATTCAAGATATTTGGGAAGAGACCAACATGATTGAAAACTACGCAAAACTAAGAGCACCCATCCCAGAGATTGTAAGGGGTTATGACCTGAAAAAATAAGAAAAATATTGAAAATAAATGATGTGTCACTCAAAAACTAAGCAGAGTGGATTCTACTGGAAGAGTTTAAAGAAACAAGTACGAAGGAAAACTCTACATGTGTCACAACTTGATTATTTTTTTTTTAAAAAAAATCTTCTTTTTTGTTAAGGAAAAACTTTTTTTTTAAATAATAAAAGAAGTTTTAGAGCTCTTTTCTCAGCTCTGTGATGTGGGTGCTCTAAGCTAGTTAGCAAGTTTCAAGCAGGCAAGATCCAAAGAACTTATTTTTGATAAAATGTCACAACTCGAACTATGAGGCCATGTATCAAGCGTGTTTTTTTTTTTTTTGTCGTCGTATCAAGCGTGTTTAATATTACTAGGTTATCTCAGTATTTAAAGCCGTGTAATTGAATATTCAAGATCTTATATTTCTGGTAGTACATGTATCTGGATTCGCATGCAAGAGAGTCTGATTCAGATAATGTGCGCCAAAACCTAACAGACCTAATTGTATAAAATCTTATCTTAACTCTAAAAAATCATTAAAAATCTTACGACTATTGATGGCCGTTAGACGTTTACATTTCCGTTATTCTGAGCCCTCACTAATTGAAAAGCACCAATAAGGAATCAACTATTGATTTTGAACTGGCCAAACACAAATCAAGTAAAAGCACATATAAGAAGCACCATTATCATCCTTGCTCTTTTCTTCATCAACTTCTTATTTCTTAGAGAAATTGGGCAAAAATATAGTTTTGTACATGTTTGTTATTGTACAAGTCGGTATATTTTGATGTTTTTTATATAGAAAACAAGGTAAAACACTGTAACTTAGCAACGAATCATAACAAGAGACATATGTTTGCACCAGTGGATTTTTATTCTAGCATATGTTTGCACTCGTGGATTTATATTCTAGCACGTGAAAGTGATTGAGACCAGATTATAGTTATTAACGTGGCAATGAATCAAAACTTTTCTCATCAACCTCAAAAAAAAAACTAAAACACACGTACGATGTGAGGTATTTTAGGAGCAATGCTATTATGCTATGAGACCAGATTATAGTTATAAAATCATCGTCCTTCACTGTCATTTTCAACGTGATTGTTTTTTTTTTTGAGCTTGTAACATTTCAGCAATCTGAAAAATATGCATTGAAAATCCAAAACTAGAGAAGGGAACAAAATTTGAAACCCAGCATAATCTTGTTTTCCAAAATTCATAAGACGGGGACTGGTTTTACTAATGCTCTTAAGTCGTAGCAAGTAACTAAGCAAGTAAAGATGACCCATAAACCTAAAAAATAAAAGCCATAAAGATTTGTCAACAATCATATATCAAAGGGTCAAAACGTATCTTGAATGGTTTGTTTTCACCAGCACGTTTGCCTTTACCATGAAAAGCACCAATAGGTCTAAGAACCACAGAATCCACAATGCTGCATGTATATTATAATCCTAACGTCAATCATTATAAATTAAACTTTTGATAACATTTTTTTATTATCAGAAGACTACATATTATTATGTCCATAGTGTTTTCTTCAATTATAGCCAATGATTTGATAGCTTTTCCAGCTCATAGGTTGCATCCGAGTTCAATTGACCAAACCTTCACAGTGCAACATAACATGTATCGCTCCTACTCAATGTCGGCTTTGATTGGGCCGATGGTTCGACTTTCATTTATTGAATGGTTTTCTTCTTATTTTTCTTCAAAAATTCATCTTCCCAATCGACATTATTTGTGCTGGAAGATGACGAATCGTTACTTGTAATGATGGTATTATCATTCAGCAACCTGATTAGACAAATAAGAAGTTAGTATGAGACATATTAAACCCTCTTAAAAATATTAACAATACATCAAGATTATAAAATATACCTTGATATGAAGTCTTCAACCTAAGGAGTTGGTGGATTGAAAAACAGTTGTGTTGCGTTGTAGGAGTTGGATATGCTAAAAACGTCTGTAAAATAGGCCGAGTTAGCATATGATAAAAAACAATCGTTCCCTAATATATATATTTTCAATTAAAGTGAGTTGCATCTAAGTACCTCTCCATTCATTGACACATGCAAACCGAACAACACAGATTATCTTTCTTTCCTTATTAGCACCAATATAATCAATGACTTCTTTTCCGAAATCATTCCACAAAGTGCATGTCAACCTATTATCACTGCCAACAATACAAATTTTTCAGCGATTATTTTATTACCATATTCAAATATATATTTTACAATACTTACTCTTGATCATGCAAAGTAATATCCAGTTTCTTAAGTGTCTTCCCTCTGACTTGTTTCTCCTCCATCTTTTTGATGTTTGTTATTTGACCGATAAGATTTCCAAAACAAACACATCAGAATCAAACCAATAAAAACTTTGAAAGATTTAATAATATAATGAATTTAACGTACCTATCAGAACTTCATTATTATAAAGTCCTGCATGTATATTTGTAGTTGTTCGTCAGATTAACGCTGAAACCTTCACATGAGACAATATTTGTTGTTGTGTAGAACGTTATCTTGAAATCCAGCGGATTAGTTCGATAGAGGGTGTTGTAATCATAGAAATTGAAATTGTTGATTACATACGAACTATTCTCCACGATCTTTCCTTCAAACTTTTTAACATATGCCTCGTCAATGGAAGCATGGATTCTAGTACCCTGCATATTTGATTGAAAAATATTAAAACAAAATCATTATATGAGTAGATGAGAGATAGATATTTTTATTAGCTATAACGATGAACAAACTTACGTCTTCGTCGACCAAGACAATCTCAATGCCTGAGATCTTCTTGCCACTTTGCAAATTCGACTTCTTCATCACTTGGACTTTGATCTTGTAATTGGTCATCTCTCTATTAATGTCAACGATCTTGACCATGAGAGTTAGTTTCTTTTTGAGAAACAACATATCCATCATTGCAAGAGAGAATGTTTTTTCAAATTAAGGGCGATATGAATTTGTCAAAAAGAAGATCCTTATAAATACTCGAGATTAGGTCGGTTTGAAACTATGATTATCCTTTTTTAGAAAGAAGTTGTTTAGTGTATATTATTAATGAAACTTCTAATACTATCGTATATAGAAAATTTATCTTTAATATTTTATATATAAATACACGGATAATTTCGATTTCTTGTAACTTCCAAATCATTATCGTGATCTAAATAGTAAATATACCATTTGTTAAAAGCTTATCAATATATATTACTTTTTAATTAAATAATGCTGGGTCTTGGTAACTCCGGCCGTGGGGATCGTGTGGGATCAGGGTCCGGTTCCCAAAGTGGATGTTGGTGTTGTGATTCATCTCCAAGTACCTATAAACACAAGATTAAAAAGAAAAAGTTAGTATTCGAAAATACCAAGATCTAGACTTC